ACGGGTTTGATTCCCTCCCCGTCAAGAAAACGTACCTTTGTTACAGGTTCGATCCCAGGTCACGTGGGGGAGGCACCCATCAATGTATTCCTCTCACATGGATACTTCTCCCTCTCTCTCTCCCCATCATCCCCTTCTACTCTTTCTAAAAAATCAATGAGGAAAATATCCCTGGGTGAGGATTAACAAACGAACCAAAAAAAAAAAAAAAAAGCTTCAAATCTTTGAGTTTCAAACATGATTATCTGAGGAAAATGAAGTAACAACATAATAAGTGGAAAATCCGCTTTAAGGTAAATTGAAACCAGAGCACGTATTGATAGCGCTCTGGGAACTTTTACTACTGCTTCTGAAAGCCTTCCCTCTGGTCTGTCCTCTGCTCTCAACGGAAGTCGCATGGTGGGGGCAGTGGCCTTTCTACGGCCGTTTTATTTTTTTATTTTTTGTAAAAATAACTTTAATAAAGATTCCAAATCTCTACGGCCGTTTTAAAGAACAGTGGGTGGCAGGTGGCTTTGAGGCTGCTCATGAAGCTGAAACTATGGGAAGGAGACTCATTTCCTATCTTCCTGTGTTTGGGATGTTCACAGGAGGCTACACAAAGTAAAAAGGAGTGTGTGAGCACCAAGCTAATGGCAGAACAAGAAGTGGTTTTATTTCGCCAACAGCTACTGGCCCTGAGGCAGGCCCTGGCCCGGGCTCAGGCCCACAACGTGAGGATGTGCGAGCAGCAGGAGAGCCAGGTATCTGAGCCCAGGCCCCGCTCTGCAAAGCAGAATGTAGCCCCTGGAAGCCGCTGGTGCTGCCTGTGGCAGTCACCGGGGCTCCTCGGCGTGAAGCCAAGCAGATGATACGACCAGAGAAAGATGGCCTGGATCTTGGCTTCCCTTCTCCCTCCTTTTCAGCCCAGAAACCAAGCGCAGTGGCCAAAAGGCCTTCATTCTTATTCATATTTGGCTTAGATGGTGAAATGTTACTTATACATAAGATTATTTAAGAGTGGGGGGGGGTGGGGGGGTGTTCTCTGATGATCTTTTCACCCAAGAGGTCTGGGTCTCTGCCTTGAATTTGATCCTTTCATCTTCTAAGCATTCTTTCCATGAGAGTGTGGCCCAGCTGTCATTATGCCCCAAGCAGGCCTTTCGGTCCTTTCCTGATGACCCAGGCTAAGTCTTCATTTCAGACGTTTCTGCTGCTTAGTAGGGGCTGGCACAAAAATAACATGTTTCCAAGTCTAAGCTCCTAATAACTGTGCTGACCCTCTGAGCATGGAGGAGGCAGAGACCCCCGGTTTAGAGAGAGAACGGCTACGTTTAAATAACAGCCTGGGAAAGCTGGGCATATATAAACCAAGAAATATGATTTGTTCCTTTTGGATTCTAATTTCTCCATCATTGTACAGCAGGTGATCATAGTGTATAATTATGTAAACTGTAAAGTCACCATACAAGTATAGTAAGTCCTCACTTAACATCATCTATAGGTTCTGCAACTGTAAGCAAAACAATGCATAACAAAACCAATTTTAGCACCGGCTAATTGATAGAAACAAGCTTTAAGTTCTAACAGCATCTCATCAACATTGTAATGAAATGACGGACAAAGCAATGTTATCCAAAGACCTGCTATATTAATCATTGTTAGTAGTGCTATAATTAAAGGTTGACCATATGGTACTTATGGTGCTACTGATTAGAATAATTTCAGAACAGAACCAAATTATTACTACTGTTTCCTTCTTTAGCCATCTGGAATCTGGCTTCCCCAAAGCTATTTTGGAAATCCAAATGAAGGCCAGGGTAGGCCCTCCCTCCCCTCTCATTGCATGTCTTGGATCACCTGTCTCCCCAGGTTACCCCTGCTCTCTCGTGATAAATGCTCAATGATGATACAGATGCCATTTATGATAGATAGAACTATTCGGTTAATAAGCTAAGTAACATACACATTATCATCAAATTCTGGTATTAAAAAGACCAAATTATTTGATCTGGTGTTGCTGGATAGTGGCATTATCACTTGCCTGGCCATGATTGCTATTATTTTGTCTTCTTTTTGCCCTGACTGTTGCCTCAAGGCTCACAGTAAACGCCATGCCCACATCCTGATGGTGTTGCAGCTGGGCTGTCGTACCGTGAACTGAGGAGCACTCCACATAGTTCTGCCCCCCGCCCTAATGGAGGTCCCCCAACTTCTAGATCTTTGCCTTGTGCTGAGAAGAAACTGTGCCTTTCTCATTTCCTTTGGCCTTTTCCTTCCTCAGGCCCGATTGCTGAAAGAATTGGAACACAAAACGACCCAGGAATCTCTCCACCGGCAGCAGCTGGATTTACTGAAAACCTCCAGCATGGAGAGGCTCTTGGAAGATGTGGAGCAAAAAGAACAGCACCTGCAGCTCCTCGCTGAAGAGGCTGAGCGGGCTGCTAGACTGGGCCAGCTCCAGAGGAAGAAAACTGAGAGAGAACTCCGACAGGTAACTCCAGTGACAGGTAGCAACAACTCGAAAGCGGGTCAGGCTGCCACAGCAGAACCCTGTCATTCTTCCCGACTTTTCCATGCCTCTCATGCCCCCCAAGGCAGTGTTTATCCACCTTTGTCACTTCTGGGCCCACCAAGAAAATGGAAATATTTATGCCCACCCCGGGCGATTGTTCCAGCTGCTTATGTGAGAGATGATGGCTTGCCTACCACAGGGCCCAGTATGTTGGCACCTTCGTAACCCACTTGAAAAACACATTTCCACCTGGTTCTAATCCTTGAACCAGGTATCCTTTAGAAAATCATGCAAAAGCAACAAGTACTATGGAGGGTGGATTCCTGCAAGAGCCCCCATGGCCAGCAGTGGTTTCTTTATTTTGTATATTTCTTTACTTTTAATATATTTTTGTTAACTTCAGAGAGGAAGGGAGAGGGAGAGAGAAATAGAACCATCAATGATGAGAGAGAATCTAAGTCCTTCATTTGAATTACCTCATTTAATCCTGCACGCCTCACACCGGGGATCGAACCCACAACCCAGGCATATGCCCTGACTGGGAATCGAGCCTCAACCTCCCGGTTCATAGGTCAACCCTCAATCACTGAGCCATGCGGGCTGGGCAGCAGTGGTTTCTTTAATCTATCTCCAACCTTGAATTCCAAGGGCAGACTTTGACCCATCTTGGAGAGCATGCATGTCCTTGCCTACCTCCTGCTCCTGGGGGAGTCATTTAGGGCATAGACTGCTTGATTCACACCCCAGAGCCCCAGCTGTGTGGCTTTGGGTAAGGTCTGTGGCTCTAGTGTCCTCATTGGTGCAACGGAGAATAATGTGCTCACCTCGTGGGATTGGGGGGAGGATTAAATGAGGTCAAATGAAGCACTCAGAACAGGGACTGACACAGCTCTCTGTAAATGCTGGCTATTTGTCTTTTTGTTGGGAATATGAAGGTGGACAACTTTGGACATAGGTAGACAGACCTGGCTTCAAATCCTGACCCTGCCACTGACTGGTTGTGTGACCCTGGGTGAGTCACTGCACTATGCTCAGTGAAGCGGAGGTGGGATATGCTGACACATTATCAAGCATGTTTCTTTCCTTTGCTAGTATTTTTCCATTGGTTTAGCCATGCCTGGCTGAGGGAGACTTATATTCCTGGGGTGGCCTGGGCCCACACTCTCCCCAGGAAGCCAGGGAACTAACGTATGCAGCACCAGAAAGCATCTCTGCTTCCCAAGCACTTTCCCCTCCAATGAGAAGGCAGCTTGCCCAGGAGCACAGCATGAAGCTGGACGCTTTCCAGCGGGTAGAAGAGCTACAAACATGTTTCCCCCGGCTCCCCGGCCCCTTGTGGGTAATGAGGATCCCACACAAATTCCCATAGTACATAGAGGAACCTTAGACCTAATTTATATTAGGACGTTTTCCTAGCTCTGAGGATCTGATCATCTACTGGAAGTCAAACTACACTCGAAAGCATCCTCATATACAAGGAACCACCACCCTTTCACATTTGCAAGACAAGCCTGTGGCCATAGCTCTGAAAGTTTAGGGGACTTCTTGGCTGGGTCTCTAGAAACAGGATTTGGAACATACAGTGGAATGTTTGAGATTAGCATGTGTATTAGCTTAGGCAAGCTGCTGTAACAAATTACCACAAACTGGGTGGCTGAACACACCAGGACTTTGTTCTCCCACAGTTCAGGAGGCCAGAAGTCTGAGATCAAGGTGTCGTTCCGTTAGAAGGCTCTGAGGAAGCATCTGTTCCTTCTGGCTGCTGAGGCCTGCCTGCAACCCTGGGCTCCTTGCCTTGTAGCTACCTCACTCTAGTCTCTGCCTCCCTGTCACATGGGCTGCACCTGTGTGTCTCCCTGTGTGTATGAACCCTCTTCTCTTCTTATAAGGACACCAGTCATTGGAATTAGGGCCCACCCTTACCAGCATGACTTCATCTTAACTTAGTTACATCTGCAAAGACTCTTTCCAAATAAGATCACATTTTTAGGTTCTAGGTGGACATAGATTTTGGGGGGGCTATTCAATCCACTGCACTATTATTACTTTTTTATATTTTTTTTATTGATTTCAGAGAGAAAGGGAGAGAGAGAGAGAGAGAGAGAGAGAGAGAGAGAGAGAGAGAGAAACATCAATGATGAAAGAGAATCACTGATTGGCTGCCTCCTGCACGCCCCTACTGGAGATAGAGTCCACAGCCCGGGTGCCCTTGACTGGAATCGAACTGGGGACCCTTCAGTCCACAGGATGACACTCTATCCACTGAGCCAAACCAGCCAAGGCTATTACTTTTTTATCATTAAAAACTTAGGCGATAATAAAAATAAATTTCAAAAGAAAAATTGCCTGTGATCTGTGCAGATGAGGTGCACTTTGGACGCAGGGACTCTCTGGCCAGGAACCGTGAGTCAGCTGTGCAGGGAAAAGCCGCATGAGTAAACACAGAGGCTGCCTCCGGGTGTGGGCCCTCAGTCAGGGCCTCGGGCTTTTCCTGAAGGCGGGGAGCTGAGCTGAGCACAGAGGTCTGGGCAAGATCGTCTTTCCTCTGCCTGAAACCGTGCAGGGGCTCCTGCATCGAGGTCCTTGGGGCAGGGGCATGGCTTGGGCTATGCGGTCCTCTGTGCACAGGGCCCTCCCCACTCCCCTTCCCCCCCTCCCTCTGGTAAAATAAACATAAAAGATATAACTTTGTGATTAAACACTGACTTTTATAAGGTAAAAAGGGGTTCCAAGGGCTGCCTCTGCTCTTTTTTGGTTAAGTTCTTGGCCTTCCTTGACTTCTTGATGCTCAGAAGGCTGAGTTCAGCCTGACCAGGACTTGTATTCCTGGGGTGGCCTGGACCCACACTCTCCCCAGGAAGCCGGGGAACTAACGTACGCACCCCAGAAAGCATCTCTGCTTCCCAAGCACTTTCCCCTCAGATGAGAAGGCAGCTTGCCCAGGAGCGCAGCGTGAAGCTGGACGCTTTCCAGCGCGTAGAAGAGCTACAAAGTCAGCTTAATGACGCTGTGAGGTCGTCTGTCCTGATGAGCTCACCGGGAGGTAAGCACAGGCACTGCTCTGGCCAGAACAAGCTCCCAGGCCCTGGGTCAGAGGTGAAGGAGGGTCCCAGGGACTAGCCATAACTACCCAGGGGTTATTGAGTGGGTACGCCATGCTGTGTGTTGAATGAATGAATGATACATGAATGAATGAAGTCTTCATTCTGATTTGCAGGCAGAATTTTCTACTTTAGTTCTCCTTAAGTTCCTGCCATCCTACATTAAATGGTTCCAGTCAGAAAAACTGGTCCCAGGAGTGTGTAACATACCACCTAAAGGACATTGGGGTCCTTCATTGGGTTTTGAAGCATCTCAATGCCTTGGGATATTAATGAGCACATTTCTGAGAGGTTATTCATAAAGTCCACTATGGTTCTTGGGTGCTGGGAGCTTGAGGAGTTTTATGGAAATGGCACAGTCCTCTGGGCTATGCAGCCCACAAGCAGCATGGAACCGACGCCAGACCCCAGGGTGTCCTCCCCTGTGAGATGAGGACTAAGTAAAGTCCAGGTTCTCTCCTGGCTCTGACTGTCGGAAATCTCGGAAATCTCACCAAATGCCAGTCACCATGATTCGCCTCTTGTTAAGATCAGCCATGCCTCTTCTTTTCTGTTCTGCAGTGTAGCCTGGTGATTGAGTGCGGGGGCTTTGGAGTAAGGTAACCAAGATTCAAACTCGTCCCCCACACTTCTAGCTATGTGACCTTAGACCAGTTAGTTAGCCTCTTCGTAACATGGAAATAGCTACCTCAAAGGGCTATTGTGAGGATTAAAGGACATCGTGCATGTCTGGCACACAGTATAGATAGTATAGCAGCACTAAGTGTGCAAATGCCGGTTACTACACTCTCCTGTCTGTGTTGTACTTTTATGTTTCCTTCTGGCCACTTACCAGTGTGGATGATGTGAGAAAACACAGCCTTTCAGAGGCAGAAAGATCCGTTTCAAAGATCAAGATGACAAAGATCAAGTTACTTTGGGTTTACTGAGAGCAGGGCTGGGCAAGCCCAGGGGCCCTCCCCACTGCCTCTGTGCCTGCAGCCTGGGCCCTGACAGCAGGCTGGCGTCCCTTGCCCCAGGCACCCAGTCCAAAGAGGAAGAACATCCAGAACATCCAAGGGCCCTATTTTGGCCACTGGCCCTGAGTGTGACGCAGTCCTTTCCACATGTCCTGGATTTTTGTTTCCCCCCCTCCTCTTCCCCTCTGCCTTTTTAATCCCTTTCTGGGTTAATGTGTGTCATGTAACTGCCACCCATGTCCTTCAACACCTGCATAATTATGAAGGAGAGCCATGGGGCATGAGGAAGGTGGGGGAGCCCGAATTCCCAGGACTGGGGGTGTAGCAGGAGAAAGAGAACCTTTTTCCCAGGAAGCAGAGGTAGAAGTCACTCCCAGGCTCTGCCCCCATCTGTGCCCCTCTGCAATGACAGGAGGAGGGTTAGCTGAGGACTTCCTACTTGTAGACTCATTAGAGGGGAGGGACTGGGTCACACCAGTCTGTTCAGTACCCAGCACTCCAAGGGGACAGGTACTATCAGCCACACTACCAGTGCCACAGGGTAAGTCAGTGGGAAGTGTGGGGTCTCTCCTTTCTGCAGGGGCGGCAGCAGCAGCCTCCCTGCTCCCCACATCAGAAGCCGAGCCTTGGTGAAGGAGCAAACTCTCCTAACTTGGCATTAACATGATTCCCCTAGGAACTTGCAACTTCTGAGGAACTATCACTTGTGCCAGTACAGTGATTCTCAAAACACTTCAGGGGAAAAAAGGAAATCAATTGACTCACAAAACTGTGAGATAGTCAGTAGTGGACTGGCTTCAGTTAGTTTGATGACGGTTGGAACTATTCCTTAGTTCCAACTTCTCCCTCCATCGCTGGGCTCTGAGAATGCTGAGAGCAGAAAGGAATGCTGGGAAGCAAGACGCCACCACCGCGTAGCTTCCATCCTCTGTTGAGCAGGAATGGGGTGTGGAGATGGGACAAAAACAATTGGGCTCTGGGCTCTGCACCCAATTCTTCATTTTATTTTTATTTTTTAGAGGGAGAGGGAGGAAGGGAGGGAGGGAGAGAGAGAGAAACATTGATGTGAGAGTGCAACATTGATCAGCTGCCTCTCGCACAACCCCTACTGGGAATGGAGCCTGCAACCTTTCATTGCATGGGACAACGCCCAACCAACTGAGCCACACGGGCCAGGGCTATGTGCCCTATTTTATTTATTTTTATTTTTTAATATATATTATTTTAAATATGTTTTTTATCAATTTTTAGAGGAGGAAGGGAGAAGGATAGAGAGATAGAAACATCATCGATTGGCTGCCTCCTGCACACTGTCCACTGGGGATCGAGTCCCAACCTGGGCATGTCCCCTGACCTGTAATCTAGCCGGTGACCTCTTGGTTCCTGGGTCACCACTCAACTGCTGAGCCACATGGTCGGGCTCTGTGCCCAATTTTAAACAAAGCACTTAAGACAGAGACTAAGCTGGGGGCTTTGGCTCAGTTCACACAGTTTTCCCCTGGAGCTGAGGATGGGGTCAGCCCACTCTCTCCTCTTTGCAGCAATTATTTTAAATATTCCTGGTCTCTTCAGGCATTCACTGTCCTTCTCCCCCATTTCACAAAGAAGTTACAAGCCTCTCAGATGAAAACTCCTTTGACTTCCTGTCCCCAGCCTACCTACATCGATATTGCTGTTAAATTTAAAAAGGTGCCCTTTCCTTCCTCTGGCCAATCCTGCTGCACAAGATCCCATATACTCTCCTACCTTCTCAGGGACCTTGAACTCATCGTTATCTGCTTCCTGTCTATACATCTATCCATTTCCCACACATCTATTCTTCTAATCTTGTAATCAGCAATTATTGAGCATGTATGTGCCAGGATCATAAAATCCATTGTAAAATAAAATTAACATCTATCCAGTTGCATGAGCCAGAAATCTGGGAGATCTTCTCCTCACCCTGCCAACCCAGTTAATTACTAACTTGAAGATCTCTGTCTGTCCACTTCTCCACACAACAGTCCAAGTGACCCACCATCTCCTTCTCTTTCACTTGATCATGTTACCCCTTAGGCAAAAGACTCTATCTAGGTTTTGACATTTTTGACTCAAAATTAATGAAGCTGGATTATATGCCCATTTTAAGCTTTAAAATTTTATAAATTACATCTAGGTCTGTACATTGCAATTAGAGATATAATTTAGCATTTTTAACATTATAGGCCTTATATGCCGGGCTCCGCACTCCCTCAGTTCTGCTTCCGCATCATCCAGATACTCCCAGCAACACCTTTTAAAGACTAATCTTATGGGCAATAAAATAACAGGAAGGATTCAGAGGCCGAAGACTGTAAGTAATGATAAATTTGAATATATATATATATATATATATACACACACACACAACGGAAAATGTAGATATGAAGTTATGGTTTTAGGGTCGCTTCAAACTTACTTTAAAAATTATATGTCAGAATCTTATTTAGGTGCTTCCTTAGGTCTGGATAATAGGATTTGTCCATCAATAGCTGCTGAATCAGTGTTTGTGGAGGAAAAGAGGGCCCGGGGCTTCCTACTCTGTGGTCTTGCTGATGTCACTCCTCAGGAATAAAATTCTGATATTGAAATAATTAAGCCTGAGAGCACTTATTCAATTACAGTTCAGTAAATACGTGTAAAAGTCAGTTAAGTCTGCCTCTCAATTTCCTCCCCTTTTTTCACTCATTTACAATAATCAACTAGTAGCATCAGATTCTTTATCTGAGTTCCCTGGCAGAACAGAGTTTCAGAAGTCAGTTTAACACACGTGAGAAATCTGCCCTCCAAAGAAATTCTTGGAATGCAGATTAGCTTGAGGTATAGCACATACTTGAAGATTTATTAAAAATATTTCAGCTTAGTTCATGTGAAACAGCATTCACATCCTCACCCACCGCCTTCTTTGTACTACTTGAATACACATTACACTCTTGCTCCAATGTCTTTCAGGATCCCCCCCCTAGAGATTTGCATACCTAAAGAATTCTAAGTGTTATGCTAAGTGAAATGAATTCAGAGAAAGACAAATGCCATATGATTCCACTTATATGTGGACTCTAAAAAACAAAATAAATAATCAACAGAAACAAACTCATAGATAGAAAATAAACTTATGGTTGCCAGGTGGGAGGTGGTAGAACTGGGGGGAAAAAAGGTGAAGGGGAATTAGCCACAAGGATGTAAAGTGCAGGAGAAGGAATATATAGTCAATAATATTGTAATAACCACGTATGGTGTCAGGTGGGTACTAGACTTATGGGGTTATATAACTGTCTAACCACTATACTGTACACCTGAAACTAATGTACTATTGAATGTCAACTGTAATAGAAAAATAAAAATAATTTTAAAAAATTCCTTCTCTCTTGAGAAAAATTAAATAATTCGATCAGAGAAAATATGCTATTGTAAGGCCACTTTTGAAGGTGTAATTCCATGGCTCATATCTAGTTATTGGACTAAATGTTTGTTGCAGTATTTCTAAAATGCAGTTAAGAGGCGACACACAGAGAGGGAATAAACAGGTCAGGAACAAACCCAATTGAGACCCTTGATCAAGTAGGGCCACATTATTAATGCCCACCGTTTGCTTGACTCACCAATCTCTGTGGAGTCATCTCTGACCAAAATGTGAAACTCTACTATATGTCTGCTTGTTTCTGAGAAAGCCTTTTCCAAAAGGAAGCAACATTTAGTTGGTGTGTATGGGACCACAAGGGCTTTTAAGATGAACTCCATCCCCATTTCACTCCACAAAGCGAATGTTTCTACCATGGGAGATCACAATTCTATGGTTCAGAAAGCTGCAAAGTAAATGCATTTAGTGGGGACCCACTATGTTTGAGAGATTTAGAAGGATGATGTGATGGTCTAAAGCTAATTGTGGGACATTATCCTACTGAAAACATAAATCCTAATAATGAAGAAAGTGTCTTGTGGACCCCTGGCTTGTGTACAGTATAGAGACCCCATGCAAAAAGCCGAAGGTCCAGGAAAGGCAAAAAATTAGTTGGAACTTCTTCAAATCTATGTAAGGTCTGACTTCTTAAGCAAGGCTATGAGACAAGTCAGATAAAGACAGATGGAAAAGGAATTTATACATGGCTGGAATGTAAGAACACCAATGATTTTTTACAACAAACAAAAAAGCACTGCATTAACACAAATGATAAAATATTAAGGAATTTTTAGATCACTCCAGATATGGGCTATCTTTTCTTCCTTAGCAGGAAATGGCTTTCCACTAGTTCTCTTTATGACAAGTGGCAAAATATGTACAAGAAGGCACACTAAATGGCCTAATCCAGATCGGACAGTGATCTTGGTCTCATTAGTAACAGTGACTTTTAATGATGCTATAACACGAATTATTCATCATCTTCCTTAAAAGCTCCAATATCTATTTAATATTTATATTGCAGGTACCTACTAAACACAAAAGAAAGATTGACGATGTCTTCCTACCCAATGTGGCAGAAAATGTTCAACTTTCAGCTTTTCAAGTTCAAACAGCTCCATCCAGAATCCCATTTAGACCCGATTGGTAATCATAAATCCTTTTATTTCTATAAGCACTTAAATAAAAGTGATTCTAAACTCCATTAACCCTTTGAACTAATATTTATTATCAGTGCTGTGAAGATAGTGTAGAAGGGCTGACATGACTATACCTTGAATGTCCCAGGTGAAGTAGGACATGGCCTTAGATTGTAAAACGTAAGCATTGGTTTGCATAACTACCATGTGGGCCTTGCCTCTGGCCACCCAGCAGCCTCTCCATCTGGGTTCCAGAAATACTGACTAGATGAAATAGCCAGGAGAGAGGGCATTTCTACTAAGCATTATCTACTAACAAGTGGAAAACTAAAACAGGTTAATCCAAATAAACTTCCAAGCGCTCATTTCTATTTGTTTCACTTAAGAACATCATTCTCTCTTAACAGGTTTTTTATTCTTCTACAAATGCCAAAACTCTCTTCAGAGTTTTATAAATTTATAATCCACATCTTTTTATTCAGACAAGAAAATCTATCTTGGGTAAAATAATAAATAACTAGATGAATGGAACAGAATATACCAGAGAAACATATTTACATAAATTTATATATATGTGTATATATATATATAAATATATATAGCTTTTCATAATTAAGAAGGTTGAGTCTATCTGAAGTAGATTAAATCATCACCTTACACTATACACAATGAGTTTCAAATGGATTAAACATCTATATGCACATACACATGCACACAGACATATACACAAATTTATTTCTGAAATATATAAAAAAACACAAACCAAAAGCCAAAGGAATATTGATGACTTTGATATCAAAGCTAAAAATTCAACAGGACAAGATATGGTGCCAGTTACCAATTTACAAACCTCTCAGCTCCAATTTCATCTTTGTCTGCTGCGAAATAATTAATATGGATCCTGTATTTCTCCACTGCCAACTGGCAAAATGTTGTTTTGTCAGTAGAGGGTGCTGGAAGGATCCTGGGGGAGAAAGAAGGGTTTCTCTCCCAGGTTCTGGGGTCTCCTTTGGGCAGGCAGGCTTCTGCAGTGCACATGGCTTCTGCAATGCCCTGATCCAGTGAATTCCTATAATGGTTTCTGACCTCATTGTTGAAGGGATAATTGGAACTTCCCCTTAAAGGTTTGAAAGAAAGCTAGGGCAGTGGGCTCTATCACATCACATCTTAATTCACCACTTTGGCCTATGCAGAAAATAGATGGATCTTGGAAAATGACTAGGAACTACCAAGCCCACACCTTAACCAGGTAGTGATTCCAATTGTAATTGCTCTCCAGATGTGGTATCTTTACTGGGGCAAATAAATATGTCTCAGGCACTTGTTATGCAAATATAACAGCTTTTGCTCTACATCAAACTGCAAGGACCACAAGAAGTTGTTTGCTTTACTCTAGAAGACCACTGTATACCTTTAAATTCTTCCCTGAAAGCTCTGTCAATTCTCCTACTCTCGTGATCATTATATTCCATAAAATATATTGGTTCACTCCATCAATAATGCTGATATCATGAGCAGAAAATAGTTAAGTACTTAGGTATAAGAACTAGAGGGTGAAAGATAAACCCTACAAAAATTCAGCGTCTTTAGCCTCATGAAAATTCTCTAGGGGTTCAATGGTTGAGAATGTTAAAATATGCCCCTTCAAGATGAAAAACAAGTTGCTTCATCTCACTCTATGTATCATGAAAAAAAGCATGATGCTCAATAGGCCTTTTTGGATTTTGAAGGCAACATATACCATATTTGAGTGTGATGCTGCAACCCACCTAGAAAGTCATCCATAAGATTACTGATTTTTTGTTGTTAATCCTCACTCAAGGATAGTTTTCCATTGACTTTTAGAGTGGGAGGGGGAGAGACAGAGACAAACATTGATGTGAGAAACACATCTATTGGTTGCCTCCCACAGGCACCCCAACCATGGCCAGAGATCAAGCCTGCAACCGAGGTACATGCCCTTGACTGGAATCAAAACCTGGACCCTTCAGTCCTTGGGCCGCCACTCTATCCATTGAGCCAAACCAACCAGGGCAAGATTATCGATTTTGAGTGAGGACCAGAGTTAGAAAAGGCTCCATTGTGATTTTGAGTTTCAATACAATCTGCTTTGCCATGTTCCTATGATCCAGCAATACTAAAGATATTAAAAAATGTCCTGGCATATAGGAACACTGTACAAAGTCTCTGTCAAAGCACCAATTAGATAACAGGCTGACCCCTAAGATTTTGAGCAAACCTATGCACTCTTCTGAAGGTAACTACCCTCCTTTTGTGCCTTGGTAGACAATGCCTAACCATGGGATACTGGGTGATCATGTAGCCTGAGCTTCCCATAACAACATGGGTGCTGTAGGACCCACCTAATAAACTTGAGCATGCACAGATTGCTTTTCACTCTATAGGCATACAAAGTCATTCCTTCAACTATCATTTCTAAGGCTCTATCACAGCAGCAATCTATCATCAGTGGAAGTGGTATACATTCAACTTAGCTTGCTGGGCAGGTCTGAAAGGTACAAGTGGCTTCCATTGAACATATGGCTCAAACTATTTCAACACCAACTCGTTGCCTCCTCTCTCTGGACTTGGGTGTTACTAACAATTAGCTAGCCAAGAAAGAAAAAAGAGTCAAGCTTGATTTATGGATAGGTCTGCATTTGTCAGTTCAAAGCATGACTGCATTTCTCATCCCAGCAACCCCAAGGGGTACTGGGTTGGAGGTCTTCGTTCGTAAGGGATTCTTTAACCAGGAGTACAACCATGAGTCTATTGATATAAGATCTCAGTAGAGGCTGCCAGTTGGCTGTCTTGGGATTCTTATGCCACTAAACCAAGAGGCAGTAAAAGGCATTACTCTACTGGCTGGAATGGTCAATCCTGAATACACAATGTGAAAAGACAGAGGACATCATTCAAATGCTGGAAGCAAAAATGTCAACCTAGAATTTTATATATAATAAAAATACCTTTCAAAAAACTAAGGCAGACACACAAAAACTGAGTTAATCAACAATATCTGTACCATCATAACTAAAAATATTAAAGGTTAAAGGACAATCTTTAGGAAGAAGGTAAATACCAGTAGCAAATTAATGGAGAGCACAGGAAATAGTAATTACATGATTGCCAAGTACACAGGACTTTTTATCATCTAAAAAAACTATTTTGAGCCCTAGCCGGCTTGGGTCAGTGGATAGAGCATCAGCCTGCGGACTGAAGGGTTCCAGGTTCGATTCTGGCCAAGGGCACATGCCTGGGTTGCAGGCTTGATCCCAAGTAGGGGGCGTGCAGGAGGCAGCTGATCAATGATTCTCTCTCATCATTGATGTTTCTATTTCTCTCTCCTTCTCCCTTCCTCTCTGAAATCAATAAAGAAATATTTTTTAAAAAAACTATTTTGAACCCCATTCTTATCAAAATAATAATCTGTCTCTAGCAACATTTCAGGGTATCCTCAAGCTTGGCAGAGTTTTATATTCACCAAACTTAACCATATATAAGACTAATATGAAACCAAAAGTTCATACTTTCTATAGCAAAATTATTAAATCCAATCTTCTGGTTTTTAGATATATAAGGGAGTATTATCTCTTCTAAGTCCAAATTCTGGGATGTAATATAGAATATAATCTTGGCCAAAACATGGACCAAAAGTACCAAACTTCACGTACTAGCCATGTGGCTTGATACTATTTATACAAAGTACTCTAAACAGAAGCCCAATTTTACTCTACATGCAATTTAAACTAAAAGGCAGTTACAAGCTTTTAGTTTTATAACAACAAATGGCAGTTTCATAAATTTGTTACTTGGTAGAGCTAAGTGGATGATGTCTACTGATTTGTGGAAGATCAATTTGCACATCACTCCATAGGCAAACAGTCATCCCTCCAACTATCAGTTCTAAGGCTCTGTTCTCCACTAATGAATACATAGTTTAGTTACTACCTGCTGGTCTTGGGGAGCAACAGAAATTGAGTAGACACCCATCTTCAAACAAAGTGATAATGTAAATTCACTAGCATTAACTGTCATAATCAAAAAGCAAACACACACTTCAGTTCATTAAAAAGAACAAATTCAATAAACATGTAGATTTATTTTCAATCAGTTTGGTACATGATACAGATTGGTTTTGTAGTTTTTCATGAACTAAAATAGAAATTTCTAAATACAGCAGTGTCTGCCTGTACAACAAATATTTTAAGATAAAATAAGGTATTTTGATAGAACTACATCTGCATGAAATAATCAGATGAAAAATCTGAAAAGGTTTCTATATACCTTCTGGATTAAAAAACCCAAAAATTATTAATGACTCCAGATACGAAACTGCTAAAGAAAGGAGGGGAAAAGGCTGTGAGTTCTGTTGCAAGAGCTCTTCTTGCAAAATCTAGTTTCAAGTGATAAGATTTTGTTGTTAGAGCAGTATTCAAAATTACCGGAGAGGCTTCATCAGCTACATTTTCACAAAAATTGCTGTATGTGTTGACATTAGTGTGTGCCAAGGTTTTCATATCTAGGTAAATATCTGTAGCCAACTTTTGCCACTTTGGAAAGAATGGAAATTCTACATACTTTCAAATAAATTTTGCATCTTATAGTACTCACTAGAAACTAACAGCCATGGCACCATAAATACAATTTTTGTGAGGTACCTAGAATATTACTAATGAAAACAAAAATGTGAGGTAAACCTACCTTTTCCCAAAAACCTTTGAAGCCAGAGATTTTAAACAATTAAGGCACTTGAAAACATTAGGTGTACGTACAAATGTGCAAGTAAAACAAACTTTAGCTGTACCAGTAAGTAACTAAGAAATAAGTAAATCTTCATTTAAGAACCTTTAACGTAACTATTTAAATGTAAGGAATTTTGGCTTATGAAATGGACCTAAGCAACTTGTCATTTCCTACCATAAAATATTGAAAACCAAAGGTTAAACTCAGCCACTATAGGCTAAAGAAACTAAAACAAAACTTTAATGACCTAAAAAAAAAGCATATT